CGAGGACCAAGTGTGTACAAAATCCCCATAGACTTTTCTTCCATAAACTTTCTACAGCATGAATTATTCATAACCACCTCAATCCAGTGCTCCCATTGGCTAAGACGCGGACCCAAAAGTCTATATAAATCGACCAGCTCCAAGGTCAGCATCGATCATTCACAAGCGGGCAGCTTTGGAGAAACAACCCTCTGACCGTTCGTGAGTGTATGGCTCCGATATGAACAACCTTTCTATCACTCCCGAATAAATAGCTCAGACTTGGACGAGCAGAGCAGTACTTGAGTAATATCCAGTCATACTAATAGCAGTTGCTCATTGTAAATATGGAGAAGATGTGAATAATTCTTCAGAATAAAACAGTAGTGTGTGTATAAGTCAATCCAATGACTCTCATTCTTTATGATAACGACTCCCTAGCCTAAGAGAGACGTTACAATACTCTAAATCTCTAAATGAGCATCACCCAGAACGGAACTAGGGGGTTGTTCATTCCAGATGTAGATGGTTTTGTAGTGCTGTTTTGAAGCTAGAAAACTTCTCAATAGAAGTCATATGTTTTGGCAGCTTATTCCAATCTCTTGCCATCTTAGGAAAGAATGAATGAAGATGGAATTGAGACACAGACTGTGGGATGACAAGTTGATTGTCTTGCAGCTCCTAGTGCTCCTAGTCAAGGAAATCTCTTATGTCCAGGTCAACACTGTGATGAATGATTTTGTGCAGCATGACTAAGCTGCTGTACCGCCTTCTCTGCTGTAGTTTGAGCTTTTTTAGCATTGTTGTAACAGAACTGGTCCTACTATAATCTTGAATGATAGTACGCACCGCCGTGCGCTGGACAGCCTCAATTTTGTCGATGTGTTTCTTTGTATGCGGAGCCCATACAGAGCTACAATACTCAAGGTGGGGTCGAACCAGACGCTTGAAAGCCCTGGGCTGGGCTGGAGCATCACTCGGGTTTCTAGCAAGGAAGCAGATGACACCATTTACTTCTGCTGTGACAGTATCTACATGTTGATTCCATTTCATGTCAGGTGAAAGGATAACACCAAGGTATTTATGATGGTTTGTTTCTGATAGCTTATTATCAGACAGTGAATAACTGTAATAAGTTGCCGACTGTTTTCTTGTGAACCGAATGATGCTACATTTCTCAGGTTTAAAGTTCATCTGCCAGGTCCTTACCCATTTTTCAAGCTTATGGAGGTCTTTGTGGAGGGCAAGGCAGTCGTTTCTACCTTTAATGGGACGATAGATTGAGCAATCATCTGCAAACAGGCAAAATTTGGAAGAGATGCCATCTGGAAGGTTGCTTATGTAACACAGGAAAAGGAGCGGCCCCAGCACTGTGCCCTGTAGAACACCTGAGGCTACATGGACTGGTTTGGACGATTTACTCTAAACAACAACAGTTTGTTCACGTTTTGTGAGAAAATCTGATATCCAGGAGAGCAATGAGCCACGCAGACCATAAAATTTCTTCTTGTGGAGCAAGCGTCTGTGGGGAACCGTATCAACTGCTTTTGCAAAATGACGGCATCCACTTGCTTGACTTTGTCTGCACCGCTAAAAATGTAATGAATGGCAAGATAATAGTTGGGTTTCGCAGGAGCGACGCGACCTGAAACCGTGCTGGGGGTCGCTCAGGATATTAAATCTGTCAAGATGATTCATAACATGACGGTAAATGATGTGTTCCAATAACTTGCAGATCACTGATGTGAGTGAAACTGGTCTGCAGTTGGCTGGGTCTGTCCTGCTACCCTTTTATATAATGCAGATACACTGGCACATCACCTGTCATTTGGAAGCTTCCTGGTTTTGATGCTTTGTGTAAACATGATCTGAAGCATCGGAGCAATCTCTTCTGCACACATTTTCAGCACATGGGGGCTGATTCCATCTGGTCAAGGGGCTTTATTGACATTGAGTTCTTTTAGAAGCTTTGTAATACCATGCAAAATAATTGTGAGATTTGGCACTTAATTGTGAGATTTGGCGGAATAGACTCTTCCCCAAGAGATGGGATATGAGAGGTGTTTTCTGATAGTGTTTACTAAGTACCTCGGCTTTGCTGGATGCATCGCTCACCAACGCACCTTGGCTCCAAAGTGCCGTGATACTACATGTGCCCCGTCTGCGATGTATTATGAAGGACCAAAACTTCTTGACATTTGTCTGTAGTGACTCAAAGATAGTGGACGAGAGATACTCTTGTTCAGCCTTCCGTAAGTCAAATTGGACGAGTGCTTTGTATTGTTTCCATAGTAGATCGGTGTTGAATGATTTTGCAGCATAGAAGGCCCTATTCTTCTTTCGTATCAGTCGTTTGAGTGATCTGGTTAGCCAAGGAAGATTGAATCTTGAAGACTTCAGCGAAGAGGGCACATGTTCATCAACTGAATCTCATAGACCCCTCACAAAAGTCTGCCCGCTTTCATCGATTGATTTTTGGGAGCAATTATTCTCAAACCTGGTTCTTAACTGGTTCAAGCTATCCTTTAGGACGTCCCTGTCTGCTTTGTGCCCCATTGATAAATCTGCCTTCTCTCACACCTCTGAATAAAAATTCTAGCTTCAGCATCTGCGATGACTTTGAAATGATCTGAAATACCAGGCTCGATCTTGAGGGGATGGAAGCAGCATGGATTTGAAACACAAAACAGGTTGAGGATATTCTGCACATTATGTGACTTACAGTCGCTTTGCCCATATCTCTACTGATTAAAAAAGAGAGAGAGAGAGAAAGGAACGAAACAGAAACAACTCCGTGATTGGGAAACAGATTTACCATATCCCGCACCAGCGCCCGTATACGTACCCCAGATGGTGCACCATATGCATGTGCTGCATTGCCTAGCCTCGCACCACGCTGCTGCTGGTGTCGGTAACTTAGCCCATTTACCACTTTGCTCATTTGCCACTTCGCCCATTTATCACTTCGCCCACGGTTTTGTCAAAATTACATAGAGAGGAAGACATATAAAAACACCCCATCCACTCTGAAAGACAGGAAAGACAAAAAGGTCAAATAGCAATACCGAAATACAGCGAATGTATTTATTAATTAATTAAATGTGTTTTCTTTTATGTTTACTGATGCTAAGCTGAAAGTGGGCACTTACTGCGTACATCGCGAGAACAGCCTGCAGTGGCGGTTCCGAATTTTTGTAAAACGAACATAAAATTATCACAAACTTCAGAAATTTTTCAGTGAGTTCACCGAAAAGAGTCGTCTTCATCCATCAAGGAATTTTCCCTTTCTTCATGAGGTCTCGGTACACGCTGTTGGAAAACTTAGGAATGTTACAACAGAAACTATGCTTTTGAATTTTGTGTATGTGTGTCAGACTTGGGATCCTCCGTGACGTCTCCGTTTATGCTTATGATAATTATGAAGTCTGCGCGGCTATACTTTTTTTGCACCCTTTTGTGTCCACCTATTACTGAGAGTTGAGAAGTTCTGACGTGACGAATCTGCCAACCGTTTGTACACACCGTTTTTAGGCGAATTAGCTCATTTACCAAAAAAGGGAGCAGCCAATCAAACTGCCAGACTTGTTTTTATATCGTTCATACCTCCATTCATACCTCCTTGAATATACTGACTTATATGACGCAAGATATGGAAAAGGAGACACCCCCCTTGCGTTGTGTTGGTCATTGTTTCACTGAAATCTGAGAATTCTCTTCAGACATCTAGGGGGACGTGTTAGGTAACAATAGTCTAGAGCGTGTATAGCGATTGGGCATGTTGAATGGGGGTGTACCCTTCGCTCTCATTTCTTGCTGGATAAAGATACTGACTGGTGAACGTTGACGCCAGATTTCGTGGCAAGGCTATCAAATGAGGGCGCCCTACAAGAAGCTATGCGAGCGGTCCATCGAGTGCGCGCGACGACTATGCATTCAGTTGCGGACATTGAGGGGTGGCTGACTGGGGAAGAGCAACGGCAGTCCAACTTGATTCAAAATACAGGGGAGTCAAGTCACAATGTAACGCAACACACACACACCCCTGCCTTAAGACATCTATTTACAATCTGCGGTAACTGCCAACGCACTCTGTCATGTTCACCTCTCAAGGTACGGTCGACAGTGGCGGATCCAGGATTTTCTTGGGGGGGGTTAACTACAGCAGTAATGGTAAAATGCTTCCCTTCTTTTTCCTCTTCATCCCTCTTTTCCTTCATATTCATGTATTCATTGGTGAAAAGGGGGCGTGCCCCCCACGCCACCCCTGGATCCGCCCCTGGTCGACCTGTCTTAACAAATGACTTGCTTAGCAGTGGAGTTGTCCCCAGCGGCGTTCTCTCAAAGGTCGAGTTGTCCGGAGTCGAGAGGGTAAACTGTCACGGTCAACTTGACATCCCTCACACGCGGTTTGGTCGGCTCGTACGCCGACCAACTTGCGCAAATACCCGGTCATCTCAGGGACATCAACACAAACTATAGCAACTGTACTATGCCAGAACTAGAATCTTAATTTAGCAATAGTTTCTTCCCCAAAACAATCAAATATTGGATCAGTCTCTCATCTACTGTTATTGAAACATCTCATTTGGCTTTGTTCATATTTTCTTCAGGAAATCTAATTAAATCGTTTTTTACTATAAAAAGAGACCGGGTTAGATACGGCAATCTCGTGTGCACAGGAAAAAACACTATAAAGTCTTTTTACAGAGTGCTAAAAATAACGCTTTATAACTAATAATAACTAATAGCAAAACATTTAATAGGATTTTTGGAAGAAAAAACTGAACAAAGACAAGAAAACCTGAGAGAAAATGACAAAAATCGCACCCATGTATATTTTCAATGGCCCACTCACACTTCTTGTCCCACTTCATTTTGTGCGCATGCGTGCAAATTGTGGGCATTAGTGAAAGGTCTATGTTAACACCATAGCTCTATGATAAGACGACCCTGGTCCAAAATGAACTGCATATTCATATTTTTTCACTGGTTGCTACTTAGCAAGTGTGTGGAAGATCAGACTGGTACTTGCACTTTCAGAATGTATTTTGCGTTCAAAAGCACACAGGCGCCAGCAAAAAAAATAGAGCGAATGCTTTCGTGTAGTAACTGGTACGTAAGCGCGATAGAGACGGCGGAAATATGAATTTGACTGATGAGTAAAGAAGTGCGAGACATTCACGATGAAGTGCATGATACCTGGCAGTAACATCAAAGGTATGCAAATATTTGAACAGTCTAAGAGAGGGCTACCAATCCTTATTGTAGTAAGTGGCAATCGTTTTGGTATGTTTAGGACGCCTGTACCCATGTAGCCCCACCAGTGTGACACGGACTCTCACTCCTGAACCGTCCTTAGCCACACATCCGTATACGCAATTTCGTGTCGGCGTATTGAACATTTCGGCGCACCCACTTATCATCGTGGGCGCAATTTCTCTTGCACACGAACATGATTCTTGACCTTTCCGCTTTCTAAAAACCATTTATTGAATGGTTTTTAGAAAGGGGCTAGTACCCATGTAGACCCAGAAACAGGGCCCAACAAATACTCCTCCGTCGTATAGTACTGGGACCTGTCCCGATTAATAGGAATTTCTTTCGAAAATTTTATCCGGGACACCCCAGGGCGTAACAAAACATCCACTTAATCTTATGAGCTGAAATTGCACCGGTATGTTCACTACTTATGCTGTAAAAAACCACTACACTGTAGGTTGCTAATTGTAGAAAACTCGCCTTTTCCTCATTTAGAGGAAAAAATGTTGCCTTTTTTGCCATTTTCCCACTCAGTACGAATTTTCGCCTGACTTCTACATTACACAGACACTTTTGCATGGTCAAATAATGGTACCCTGTACGAGAGCCAGACTTCATCACCTACGTATCTCGTTCAGATCTGTGAGAGTACCTGTCGATCAAAGTACTCGTAGAAAATTACAGCTGTTTTGTGTCGCAGCTAATACGCAATGCCCTTGGCTGGTTCCCTGTCCAGTCACACACTGTTTGCTGCAAATCATTGGTAGCGCGGCTTGCTCTCTGTAAAGTGACACGAAAGTGACAAAACTGCCATCGCTTTTGTGCAAGTGGGGCAAACTTCGTCTGGAGTGGGAAAATGGCAAAAAACACAACATTTTTTCCTCCAAATGAGGAAAAGGCGAGTTTTCTACAATCGGCAACCTAGGGGATTTTTTACAGCTTAAGTACTGAACATACCAGTGCAATTTCAGCTCATAAAATTAAGCGGATGTTTAGTTATGCCCCCAGATGTCCTGGATAAAGTTTCCGAAAGAAATTCCTATTAATCAGGACAGGGCCCAGTATACGACGGAGGAGTATTCGTTGGGCCCTGTTTGCGGGTCTAGTAGTACCCATGGTACTGTGTGTAGGCCTAAGCCTACTTATCACACAACTCCCAAATTTTTAGTTCTGAAACTGCTGTTGATTGAGGCATAGTGCCTGAATTTGCTTTCGTACAGTCTGGCTACAATCCTGGACAAAATTGTTGGGACACACACGTGTCAATATAGCCCCACTAGTGTGGCACGGCCCCTCACCCAGCATGTGTCCAGCTCCATCCACACATCGGTATACGCAATTTCGTGTCTGCATGGTTAAATTTTCAGCGTACCCTCTTATAATCGTAGGCGCAATTTTTTTGGCACACACAAATTATCCTTAGTCTCTCCACTTTCTAATAACCATTTATTGACTGATTTCACTCTTGTTATTCTGGTATTTTCCAGTCTTTTTGCCTTTACCCATTCAATCTCTCGGTCGCACTCTCACACGCCATCTTTAAATAAAAATGAGTCTGCTGAACTTTATACGTCACTTGACCCTGGCCTGCAGACGGCTGTTCCATGTCAACAAATATGTTATATACAACTGAAGTCTCGCGGACGGAGCGATTGTGCAGGTAAGTTTATTTTTTGGTAGAGTTCCTGACATAGAACAGCCTTTTGTGGGCCGGGTCAAGTAAGGTATAAAGTTCAACGGACTCATTTTAATTTAAAGATGACGTGTGAGAGTGAATGGGTAAAGGCAAAAAGACTGGAAAATACTAGAATAACATGAGTAAAATCATTCAATAAATAGTCATTAGACAGCAGAGAATCTAAAGATCATTTGTATGTGCGAAAAAAATTGGGCCTACGATTATAAGAGGTGCACCGAAGATTTCACCACGCCGACACAAAATTGCATATACGCATGAGTGGCTAAGGACAGAGTGGTAGCAAGGGTCCGTGCCACACTAGTGGGGCTAGTGTCAAAAGCCATACCAGGTCCCCACTCCCCTGGTCAACGTCATCTCGAGCTGGAGTGCAAACTGCGCAATCAGACCTAGCTCTGAGTGGAGTGTTAGTATTTCTCTTTTTTGATTTTGGACAGGATAGAAGAGATAATTCAGACCCAACATTTAGAGGGATCCGGGGGTGGGCATGGTGGGGGCCTGTTGGTCGGGGGCCCAATGAGATTTGGCCAGGATTGCCCGGGGTGGTTCATGTGAAGGCCCTGTGTGCACATACCATTCTGTTTTGCATGTGCTTTCTGGCATTTTTCTTGGAAAACATTAAATGGCAGCCGGTGATTGATTAGAAGAAGGTATAGTTTTGACAAATCTACAAGTAAAAGAAAACGGAAGTTAGGCCTAGAGCCTACAGTGTAAATATCAATTTTGTATTGTGTGTATATTATCACAACCTTCTTGTGCATGTAGGAGTTCATCGTATATAATGCACCATTGCATATTGGCCTATAGTTGTCCAAAATTGATGTGATTTTTTTAACTTGAAAAACCGATTCTGGTACAGAAACAACTTACATACATGTACATGTACAATCCTGTTGGATTTTTCTTAGTCATTCCGTCATTGGCTAAAAAAAATGCAAGGATAATCCATCAAAAACCTAAAAAGACAGAAAGTGAGAGACTTATTTTCTTTAATGGTGGCTCAACATTGTTATTGTGTCATGTAGGCCCTACATGTAAGATGGGTTGATCCATTATTACAAATTTTTATCCCCTGAACTTTTTTACCCCAATCTTAAATGCAGCAACAACTTTGACATTCATGTTAATGTTTAAATTGGTGTTTGCCAAAGGAATAATAAATATGCAGGTATCCCAAATTTCATTTTTTTGGTGGACTCATTCTGTTATTGATGTCTGAAACAGTAGTCAAAAATGTCTGTTTTCTGAGTACTAATTCCCCGAGAGTTATAACCATATCATTAGACCTGAACTACGTGTATTTCATTCAAAATTGAAGTTAGAAATTCTAAATATCCCTTGCAAAATTCTTGACTGGACGTTGCTGCAAGGCATCATTATCCGTTGTGCCAGTGCCGTGCAAGCGTAAAATTAGGGTTGTTCTATAAGATGTTTTTCTAAGGCTATCTTGAATCCTGATGATGATGGTTGATGAACAAGGTCAGTAGGGAGCTTGTTCCAGTCTACAATCATTTTTGGAAAAAAGCTTTGTTGATATGCCTATATACATGTATGGCACTGCAAAGATACATAGCATTGATCATGTCGACCTCTCTGGGATCTTTCCACTGATTTGTTCATTTTGGGGGTAAATCTTTGTTTTTCCACATGTTAAATTTATGGGTGTGTATACATGTATATAAGTCTGTGTTTTGCATTAGAAGTCTTAAACGTACATGTAAAATAAGTGTGTTAGTTACAGGAAAGCAGAGTTCGCTTTTTTTTAGTCCACTTTGGAACGGTTAGATCATGTGGCAATGTGGCACGGACCACCATGTTTGGCTCTTTTAGATACAGAGACATCAGGCCAAGTTGTCTACAGGAAATAGAACTCGAGCAACGTCTTCACGGAACGTTACTCATTCTGCACTATCTTTTGTAGTCGGAACAACCACATGACCTAGAAGGCCTTTGGGAAAGAATGGAGCTGATGAAATACATTTGAACAGAAATGGCAGTTAAAGAGGCAGAAATATGAAACACAGAATAACGCAAAATGAGGGCAACGGTGCACCTCTGACGGTGTCTCGGTCGGATGGGCATCGTGAGTGGGCTAGTCTACCTCTTCTCCGTCTGTCAGACTGTCGTTACAAATCAGGGTGACCTAAGAAATGGCTTCCTCTGCTACAGTAAAACCAAAAGCTATGTCTCTGCTTCAGATGATAAAGGTGGCCATTGCATGCCTCGGAGGCAAGGGCGGAACTTCGTCTCAAGCCATCAAGAAGTATCTCCGAGAAAACTTTGATGTGGTAATCGAGAAGAAGGCCAGCAGCAGCCAGAAGGGGACTTTGGTGCTTGCCCTTCCCGTTCCTATGGCATCTTAACACTTGTATGCTAGTCACCGCCTGGTCTGGGATTGTCGAGGAGTACCTGGTCCTCAGCCGCATTATCGTCCAGTGTCACCCAAACACCAGCCATTATGTAGCACCAAGCATGCTAGCCACCTTGTGACACCAAGTGTGTCAGCCAGCCAGCCTGTGACATCAAGTGCCAGCCATCTTGTGACACCAAGTGTGCCAGCCAGTCAGCCTGTGACATCAAGTGCCAGCCATCTTGCGACACCAAATCCGCAAGTACCCATACAATCCTTTGAACTCTTTTCCAGAGAAAATGCCGAGCTGAGTTCTCACCGGAACACCACCTCACGACAACGGTCCGTTGACGTTGCCAGCTGCATATCTACTGAGAACTATTATTTATCCTTGATGAACAGCAGGGCGATATATCTGGGTTTTGTGCCGTAGTCAGATACTGACACATACATGATTTTTCCCACTTTGGTTATACAGTCACCGGTGACATGACAATACTATTTTAATGTGTAATACGGTTGCAATAAAGGAAGTCTCAACTGTGCACAGGATAAGTGATGTTGACAATTGATTGAAAAGGAGTTGGTTATTTAAATCAGTTCCTGCAATTCTGGGTGCACCCAGGGTTACATTTCTCTTTTAGGTCAGGTAAATTTTTAGCAGCTATAAATTGATACACTAGCAAATACTTTCCAATACGCTTTTTCCGAGTTGGATTTTTGAAGAAGTAACTGACCAAAAAAATATTACAAATTCCAAAATTTTGGCAAGTTATTTATCCTATCCAAGGGTTCCAGAAGCATGCCATCAGGGGTCAACTTTCAGGCTCTATTGATCCAGCTAGTTTTGACATCTACACTACAACTGCAGAGTTGCCAAGGTTTCACATAAAAATAATAAGAAGGACGATG